CCGAATTTTAGTCATAACATCTTAACGCCTTATATTGAGTATTAAAGAGTCGAACGTTTTATTGCTTAGACAGGGAAGTGAATGTTACAGAGAGCTTAAGTTCAAGAAAACTAAATTTGGACTCCGTTTCCCCCATCGTAGCACTGTATGTTAATCTTGGACTGCTGCTTTCTACACCAGGCTAGAGATCCGGGTACGAGCTATGGCCGGGAGACATACAAGACACTTCACTCTCACGGTGCCTCTCCTCACCCATGTGCTCAATGGGTGCAGTCGACTTTAATACAACAACAACAACAACAACAACCACCATTTTATTTTGCATGATACAGAGAATATCATACAGCAAAAGATTGCATTTTGATCACTTAACTCAAATGTTGGCTGACTTGAGCTTCCCGGACTTAGACAACGAGCAACTGGATGAAATTGAGCAAAAAACTCAAGCGAAAAACCAAGAAAGCAAATGAGCGGGGAATCAAAAAGTTCGAGAAATGGTGTGAGGAAAGATAAATTACAGTGGATCTCAAAACAGTAAGCTTAAGTCTTAAGTCCAACGGACTTGAGTGAAATTCTGCGAAAGGTCTTCGCTAAAAGGAAAACAGAGAAAGGCCAAGCATTACTCCAAGTGTATTGACTGGAATTAGAGCGGCCATTCATCGCCATCTAACCTGTGCTGCACTCAGCCGAAACATAAGCATTTTTCAAGACAGCGAATTCATGTCTGCCATCAAAATGTTTGAAGCGAAGGCCAAGTTATTTACGAAAGAAAACGATGCGAGACCAGAACACAAATCATCCATTAGGAGACAGGTAGAAATTGAATAGATACCTCATGGAAGGGCAGAACACGGACGGCGTTTGGAAAGATGAGGAGAAGTGTTTTCCTTTTATTCGCCGCGGCAGAGAGGGATGGCGGGAGCTTACAAGGCAGTCATTTGATTATTTTGCTAATCATTGTTACTAATCTTTTTGAAACTAGATTACATTTGACTTTTATTGTATACAGAAAGGAATTTTATTTGGCTCTTGTTTAGCTGATCGTAATGTAGCAACAACTTTCCACATCTTAGCTTCGTGCTACATCTCTGTTAAGCATTTTTTTCTTATTAATTTAAATGAATTTGTACGATTTGGCCTTGTGTATTGATAATAATGATAATCAAATTACTTTTGTCGGGCATATAGTTTATTTGTGTCCCTCGTAGCATCATTTGGGCCCTCGCTCCGCTTGGGCGCAAATGATGCTACTCGGGCCACAAATAAACTATATGCCCTCCAAAGTCCTGTGGTTGTCCTATTGACGTTAGGACAGTAAAGTTTTTCCCGCCTACTGAATCCTGATTGGTCAATTCAAATTTCAGGCGCGTCAGCCGTATGCAAGGAAATCAGACTGTTGTTTTGAGACATTTCTCATGTGTGTGGTCCCTCTTATGTCAACATGCAAGAGTCAAAGAGGCCGTTCCCTTCCCCCCTTCCCCATCCCCCCGTCTTTTTTGCCTCGGCTGAATTTTTTTAGGTGATGACGTGAGCCTAATCGCTGAATGAAATGGATCGACTGTCGCCCTTCGCGTAGCCCGGTGCCTACGCTCACATCGCTTAGCAGATTTTCCGCACCGTCAAAGAAACCTTTTGAGAGGGGAAGCGGAATATCGGGAACTAGACTGGTCAGCCACTTTGCTGAGGCAAGTAAGGATTTAGTACGTCGGATTTAAACTATTTTGGGTTTTCAGTTCTGAAGTGACTGTCGCTCCATGTTCTTTGTGTGTACATAAGCAACGAGCACAGGAAAGGTGCACGACCTGACGGTCACGGAGCTCCATGATTGTGGCGAGAGACAAGAAGGAAACCAATAGGAACCCTCTTGATATCTTAGTAACAAAGCAGATCGCGTTAGAGATATAAAGCGTGTTTGAAATTCTTTTCTACGCACTCTGTCGTGTTTATGTTTTATATACGGTCAGTACAAAATGCACACTGCAGTCTGCACACTGCTGCCCCGACGCTGAGTGATCCCAGCCAAACGAGGCCACTGAAGGATTCGCCCATCGCAAATGTTAAAGTCGTCTCGAAATTTAGTTAATTCTCCTTCACCCTCCTGTCTTTCATCTTAGGTTCTCCGACTCTGAAATGGTATTAAAGGCCATCAATTTGGTCAAAACATTTCCCTGAGAGTCGTTGGATGAGGCGTCATGCGAAGGTCGCTTTATCGAACGGTTTAAATTACTTATACCTTAATTCCAACCTGCTCTTGTTTCGGTGATTGTAAGATAGGGGGCACAACAGAATTTGGCAAATCTTCTATAGCCAAAATTGGAAACTGAAAGGAGAACAGTTTCATGTAAACCACAAAGCAAAAGTATCCTAAACCCCGACCAAGACAGATAGAATATCCTCTTAGTTAAGAGGTAATAAGGCTGTGGATCGGGAGGAGGCGAAATATAGAAAAACACGAACAGTCCTCATCGAAGAATTTATGCCTGCAGTAAACTCAAATTCAACACATTTCCTGTGCAATATTTTATAAGGAATTTTAAGGAATTTTATTACGTTCATCAAACCATTACATTACACAACTTCAAAACTGAATATATTTACAAATATCATTGGTTACAAATGGAAATGACATCCCAGCATAATCGACTCGGTGTTATAAACCTGTCTTATCAATGTAATGATCTCATGCTGCACTAGAATTTCGACCAAGCAACAATCCTTCGTCGCTCGCTCGGCCACTTCGCGACCTTCACAATGCCAATCTCGCAGTTCACTTCTCCCACTTAGCTATTCTACCCTGAAATTTATGAGGTCGATTTGTGGCAAGTCTACAAGTACAATCTCTATTATTCTCGGTGTAAGTTATTCTTCAGAAGCCTTGTTTATAAATGATTGTCACAATTGAAGGGGAGAATCTACCTGCATGTAAGAGAAACTATTCAGGTGCAAAAATGTTAACCTAACTTTAAAATTTCCAGTTTCCATCTGAGCTAGAACTGACTGCTTGAGTTAATAAAATTCGGAACCTATTAAAGCGCCGAAAGAAATTGCTGCTTGGCTTTAAGGTGGGGCATTGTCACTTTCGGAACTCCACGGCATGATACACCAGTCCTTTACTTATTTACGTTTTATATTTCATTCACTATTTTCTTAATGTCAATTTAGCTTAGTCAAATATCCGCTAATTAAGAGACGGTTACTTTACAGTTAAAACATTGTGATTAAAGCTTGATCTCTAGGCTGTCTACGGACAGAACTTGCTGCTGTATCCTCGGAACTTTGTGTTACGGCTACTGTTTTGAACATATCTTAACAAAAGAAAAGTTTCCTCGGGCAAGTATATATTCGTTGCTGCTATAAATTGGTGAAAGATATCACAATTAAATATTAAGATTAAATGCAGAGAAACAAAAATGCGGCATTTAGTGTGGGACACCAAGAAACGCATATAAATATTGTGTTTGGGTCGATAAAATCGTGTTATTCGTTTTGAAATGAATGCCATAAATACACTCCTGAAATACGGGTAAAGAATTATACTGAAAACGGCTGCTAGCCGCCACAAATATCCAGACTTTTCAACGGCCATTCTATTTCCCTAAAAGCTACATTAGGGAAGCTTTAATGAAAGATACGTACTTTCGAGCGCAATTCTCTGTTAATTTACAACAAATATGTTACGGATGTTACCTACGTATGTATTCATTATAAGGCTTGTGCTTGTAGCCGATATAACGTGCGCTCTGATTGGCTATTTCTAGAGCGCCGTTCTCTCGTAGGGATGGCGGAACCTATTTTGAATTGGCGGGGTTTACAACCGAGCGCCAGAGGCGCCAACTAGTAGGGGATCTGGAGATATTTGTAATAATATTATTGAGGGGGAGGGGGGGGGGGCTTTACAGTATTTCCCTCCCCCCCAACGGCTCCGCCAACCCTGTCTCGTAATGCATACGGGCCGTTTACTGGCCTGCTAAAACAAAGCGAAAGGAATTTTTTTTTAAAAAAAGAATGTTGCTGTTTTCATGAAAATTGTAGTAACTGAAAACGATGAAATAAAACGTCAGGATAACAGCGAATTCATTGTAGTTCACCTAAGTTATGCGGTTGGAAACAATGAATGTATGGCCAGGTAAGTGTGCACTTTAAAGAATGGCTCATTTGTTTGTTTTGTTTTTGTTTCTTAAAGGCCATAAAAATAAATTACTTATTAACCGAGAGTAAGGTCTTTACTGGAAAGTCTCAAATTTCGGCCTTGCCGTATTGACCTCGCTATCGCTCGGTCATTGCGGCCAGGTCTCTGATTAAATTTTTCCGTAAAGACCTCACTCTCGGTTAATAAGTAGTTAATAACATGTATTGTTATTAATTTGCTAATCATTGAATTATGAAGGTATCAATAAATTTAACCATCAAAAGAATTAGCAATAACATTTGAAAAGAAATTAAATGCCCTAATTCATCACAAATAGCAATAATAATAATAATAATAATAATAATAATAATGACTGCCTTAGGCTCATGGATTGAACTCGGCACCAGAAGTTAAAAGCGGCAAGACTTTACGGACTTAAAATAATAATAATAATAATAATAATAATAATAATAATAATAATAATAATAATAATAAATTAAAGAGCCCCTAGGGTCAAAACACCATCTTTAACTACGAACTGGCTGGTGAAATCTCTCAACTATTGGCTGGTGATATAAGCCTGAGTTCACTAACGCCGCTGGATTGCCGATATTATCTCGCCTACAGAGCGAATTAAAATGTTTATAATCGTCAGAGTTTATCCTTGTTTATGTCGCATGAGACGCATGTAAGTATGCCAAACCGTCACGACAAGAAAGTACCCCAAGGTTATACTCTATAGCTGACATTTGGGTAGGTTGCATTTTAAAGAGTTTGCCGGTAATTATCCCAGCCAGTCCCTTATCGGGATAGAAAAATTCAGCGTCCAACGCGATAGCCATAGCAGGTACACATCTCCTCCNCCCCCCACCACCCACCAAAAAAGCAAAGAAAAGAATATATCACAAATCAAAACTACTCATATAAACACATAAAAGACCAAATAACTAATGACAACATGTTAAGTCTAAGTCATTAGTGTGGTCAAAATTAAAATAAATTGGTTAAGTATATTATTTGTAATAGTTTTCAAACAACTTAACGGGACATTGTCATTATTTTTAGCATGATTTTGGAAATTTCAAAAACGTATATCGATCATTGGAGGCTGAACAATAATGGTTTTATTTTGTAGAGCAGTATTCGACAAATGATTAAAACCCATTAGGAAGTGAGGATGGCTAACGGTGGCGAGGACGGATGGAAACGGATTGCGATATGGATTTTTGAAAAAGCGTCAGGATGTCAGTTTTTCAAAGGTTTGGCTAGAAAATCGTTCAAGTTTTGCAAAAATGTTGCAAAAATGTTGCTGCAGAGTGGACTCTCTTCAAGACATTGTTTTTAATCATTTAGTTAGAACTAATTAAGTTCTTATTACAAAAATTGAGGGACCATTTTGTGACTTTATAACAGCTGTAAGCGAATATATCGTGAAAGTGTCCCTTGGAGAACAAAAAAGAAGGTAAACAAAAACTTAACCTAATCCGTTCTGATCGCTTGTTTATGACGTTGTTATATTCTAAATTAGTTGAGACCGTGAATGAAAGGATAAAAGGATAAATCAACCAAGATAAAACACCTCCATCTCATCAGCTGAGAAGTAGTGAGTTCCCGCCAGGATCGTGCTACTGTCGTTTACTTCACTTGGGACAGAGTAAGCGTGGCCAAAGTTTGTGTGGGAATTATTGTTACTGTTGGCATTGTCAGCAAGGTAGATGTCATGCCGTCCACCATACCCTCCACCAAATGTTGGACCATAACTTGGGTACCTGTAAACTGCATATCTCGATTTATCCACCATGCTCTTGAATGGTCTAAGACCTTCTTTGTGGCGGAGTGAAAATATGAACGCATTGGAAGTGGAACCATAACTACTGGACTCTGGTAAACAACAACAAAAAATTTCACCAGTTAATTGATGACAAAAAAAAAAAGACTAAGAACTTAAAGCCTTATAACTAGAGGTTGAAAATGTTACGACGTTCTGTGTAGTCAGCTACAACCAGTACATTGCATGCTAAGTCAGTACCTTTGAATTCTTGTTATTAATCCAAGGTTTGAAAAACTGATTGGACTAGGAGTATCATAGATTTAAAAGGCTGTCCGTGTAAGAACTGATAGGGCAAATTTCGGACCTTCACCGATTGGCCTCATTTTTCAACGAACGTCAACCATTATATCTGATCCAATGAACAAAAATCGAATTTATTTGGATCAATTCGTTTTTCCTTTTTATCATTTTTTTGCGAGAGTCAATTCATTCCCAATCCGTCACGAAAACGGAACGTTTTTGAAAACGCTTTTCAAACCGGAGGAATTTGATTACGTCGGCTTTTCGTTTTTGAGTGGACGGAAAACATATTGACTGAAGGAGCTTTTCGAAAACAATTAGGCCACGATAATCATTTGATTTCCCTGAACGAGTTTGCCTCAAACACAAACCCAAAATGACCGGCGATTGTTGCGCTTTTAAATCCTCCAACGTAGTGTGGACGGCAGACATTTGATGCGTTGTCAGAGTGAAACCTCCGTTTTCAGATCTTTTCAAATTCGCCGGCGTTGTGTTACGGTTCATGTAAATTGATTAGGTAGGTAGGTAGGTAAAACTTTGTTTATGCAGGGTGGCCCATTCAGCACAGTGGCTGGTATCCAGAGGGGCTCTGCTAAATACAATTTCTAAAAATATAACACGTCTAATAGTATAAAATAGTTATAAAAATAGAGTTAAAAAAAAAAAACTAACGTCTAGTAGTTGAAATAGTTATATAAAAAGAGTTTAAAAAATTGAAACGAGTTACAAGCATGAA